CTATTCTGTTTAGTACTGCTTTTCAATTCATCCTTCAACTAAATCAGATCAACGAAATATTGGTTAGATTAAATAGACAATACAAAACTGCATGACAACAAACTTTATTTTTGTCCATATTTTTTATTAGTCTAACATTAGTAAACAATTTTCACAAAAAATATTAAAAAAATAAAGTGTTACCTGCCGAAGGAGTCTTTTTTGGTAACGATAGTCCTAATGAGATAAAGAAATAAATTTACCAGAAGATTAAGATCTGATCAGTTTAGTCAAAAAAAAAAATAATAAAAAATTGAAGTGTTCTAAATGACCTTGTCAGTTCCATTGATGTAATCACAGTAGGTGAACACAGAAGCGAAGTTGCTCTGGCTTTGTCCACCAACATAGTGAAGATAATCATGGTAATCTGCGCCGCCATAAAAAGGAATGTATTTTGTGGGAGTCGAAGGAACACCGTACCTATAAAAATGACAGGAGACAAGTTACAACATGCTACAAGTGTAAATGGATAACTAGCTATACCCTAGAATTGAAGTTATTATATATTAAGTTATGATTTTATGCATATATTAAAATGTGTGTACAAATGCAATGTGTATATATTGAGTGTGTGTTAAAGTGCAAGTAGTTGTTTGTTGTGCGGTGTTCGTGTTACGTTTGTGAAATTTTTGGAAAAAAATGTATGATAGATGTGTGAAATTTGGTAAAAAAATATACCCTCATAAATTCAATAATTTAGCTATCTTATTATATAGACTATTCATTACCAGTACTTAAAGGCACTATATAACAAACAAATTTTTTTTAAATAATTGTCCAAATTCAAAAAGAACGACTTAAAAATATTTATATTATTTCTTCTTTTAAAATGGTTTGAAATATATCATCGATTATATTCTCCATATTAATGAAACTGTCATAAAAATATATAAAAACTCTTCAAAATAACACCATATATACAAATATCTATGAGAAAAAAAATACTAACATAATACATTGAAATTTACATTCTTTAAGCAATAAATAAAATCTTGCTTATTTATAAGATTCACGAATTTATCACATCTACTACCATTCAATCCAATAATACAACATAATTATAAATTCAACCACTATATTTTCAATCCACTCTATCTCCATGTAATAAATAGCTCAAGCAAAAAAAAAAAACTAGTAAAACACAATTAAATTCACAATCTTTAAATAATAAATAAGATTAACCAAATCTTACTCATTTATAACATTCATGAATTTATCACCATTCAATCCCAAATAATACAATATAATTATAAATTTAATCACCAAATATTCAATCCTCCACATATAAATATACACAAAAATACACTCACACACATTTCTTTTTTAGTTATCAACAAACTCTTATAATCAATAACTATTTTTATTAAAAATACAACAAATTAATTTTTTTTTAAAATAAAATAGTAATAAATTAATGTTTAATTAAAAATTAGGGTAAAAATCATGAATATCGCTTGAGTTTTAATAATATTACACAGACACTCCTGATACTTTATAAATAATACATAGACTCTCTAAAGTTTATTATTAATTGCACGGAGACCCCATCTATCTCTCTTCTATCAATATTGCTAACACAAATTGATAATTTTATCCCAAATTTTTTTATAATTTTTACAATTGCCCTTCTCCAAAATTAGTACAAAAAAAATTAAAAATTTAATAAAATAAAATTTGATTTAGTACCTAAAAAAATGATATAATTTAGTACCCCCAAAAATTGATTAAATGAATTTCAATATTAATTTAACAAAATTGAATATAAATTGGACAAAATTAAATGTTATTTTTTGATAAAATTTTTAATTTACAATTTAAGGTTCATTTTGTGTTGAATATTATTTAGTGTTTATATTCTATTTGCTAAAAAAATTTTGAATTCATGGAATAAATAATTTCATAACGTGTCAATCGATTTTCAATTTTTTTTAGTATGTTTTGTCCTTAAATTTTAGTTTATTGGCTTTACCATTCAAATATCTCTGTGATAATGTTTACAAGATAATTTATTGAATAAATGTAATGGATAGTAAGTGAATAACTGATAAATTTTTAATTATTAAAATGACAATTAATCTCACTTTTTTTACAATGGTGATAATTTGTCATGTTCTTATATATATACAATATACAATTTTTTTTCCTTACAGACTTCAAATATCAAATAAGTTATGATTAATATAAATGAATTATTTTGTCTTAACTGGTTAGGAGAAAAAAAAAATTAGCCCATGGCAGTGTAAAATGCATGCCTCCATCTATGGATGCATGTTTGTACATTTGAAGTTTCTTTGTTTTTTTTTATAGACAGAATCACTCTGAAACTTACACTTAAAAGTATAAACGACAAAAGACTTTATACATACATACAACCCCAAGGCTATCCAATGTGGGATAGCCCCAGCCCCCTGGTCATTCCTCACTAGAAGGTGCAACCAGTTCTGAATCCAATTGTTCTAGTTCCAATCAACCAAAATCTTAAAATGGACAACGCGTTGCTATCTTATGTATTATATTTCTTTCGTAAAAGAGCGGGAATCGTCATAAGAGAACAATTTAGTCCACGTCTCACCCTACCGTTTACTTTATCTTTCGAATTCATATTTTTAACAAACAGTAAACAATTTTTAATAATCCCAACATTTCCATTCACCTTGAAGATACAATTAAATATCAGATTCGAGCACAGTGAACCAAAGTGACTAATGCTACTGTTAGATTAAACTAGGAGCAAATGACAATTTGCACCCTAAAAGATCAATTATTTTAAATTATATACTCGATAAAATTAATTAATAGCAATATGGCCAATCAAATTTTCGTCAAATTGGCAGGTACGTAAGAAGGATGGACGTGAAAAGGGGAAGGGCCTTCCAGTAAAAACCCACCATGTTGCATAGTGTAAAATGCCTTGATCAGTACTGCATGGGTGAATGAAATAAACCTTTATAAGCGTAGTGAGGGAGAAAGCAATGCTTACCCACTGTGGGCATCAAGTGCCTCAAGCTGCCTCAACCCAACCCACAACCACCAAGTAATCATGTGCCCCGGAACCATGGCGGGCCCGAGAAACAACGGAAGCAAGGTGATCAAAATCTCTGTCCAGTGACCGGAGGTGTTCAAATGTTTGATTAATCGTAATTTTCTATTCTATCTGACTTATCTTATTTTACTTAACGGCTAATCGCAAAAATCGGATAGAGATGCAGAAGAATTTTTAGTCTTTCAATTAAATCGGGTAGGAATGCATAATACCCATCAATTTTGGCATTCTTACCCTACCCTACCCGTAAAAAATATATTTAACTTTTTTATATTTTTTTTAGTAATTATAAGAGTATTTGTGTGGTATAATTTATATTATAACATTGTTATTGTTGTGGATGTTTGAGTTGCAAAAACATGAATTTTTTTTTTGTGTAGGTTACATGATTTGTGGTGAACTAGTGATCTATTAGAACAATTATGATTTTAATGTGTTTCATATGGTTTAAACATAAAATAATTGTTATTGTATTTGTGTAATAATTATGATCGATTGATGTTCATATTTTCTTATGTTTTATTGAAATTGTTATTGTAGTTGTTTTAGATTTTAATGTTATAGATTTATTGTGTTGTTAAATTGGTGCATGTTATTTAATTAAATTGTTAAAATGATCCAAAATTTAATAACTACAAAAATATTTACCCATATTCTTATTTGACTTTCTACCTGTTTTGCGGAAAAAAAAATTATTGGCTTACCTTACCTGATCAGGTGTGGTATTTTTACCAAATTAATTGGGTAGGAAATCGGGTAAGAATATCACACCTGATCGGATATGATAGACCAAAAAAATATTTTCAATAAAATATTGAATAGAAAGATAAAAAATTATAATTTTTACCCATAAAGTAGGGTGAATACCTCTACTAGTGAGCATACGCTGCCGCAAACCCAATCGGCGCAGCGCGTGGTGAACCCTGTGAATCTTCTCGTATCTCCGCTTACAATGCAGAAACCTACGAACCCAATAATTCAAATAGTCCTCAACAATTACACAAACCGTCAATTGGGCCACAATTTCCCCCACCGATGGTCTTTGACAGGCTCATCCAAATTCCAATCATCTGCAAATGTATATGTTTTATTTAAGGGAAATTTGAAGGCCGATTTTTCTATATTGATTTGTTTTGACTTAAATTTATTAAAAAAATTTATTTATTATGAAGTCTATTTTTTGTCAATTTTACCAGACTATTATTTTCCTTTAGAAGTAAAGTAAAACTAAAAATTAAAACCTCATAAATCTTAGAAGTTTGACTAGCATTAAAAAAAATTTCTTTCATATCTATCTATTTTCATATATAAATTAGGAATATATATATGTAACATTAAAAATAAAAAATAGTAACATTCAAATACAAAAAAAAGTTATCAATTAAACACAAAAAATAATATCATTTAACACAAAAAAAAAGGTAACATTTAAACATAAAAAAATAGTAACATTTAATATTCATATTTTTTAAAAATAACAATAGTAACATGTTCAACAAAAATAGTAACATACTTAACAAAAATAATAACATGTTTAACAATAATTATCTCTCTCAAATTTAAACACAAAAATAGTAATATTCAAAAACAAAAATAAAAATAGTAACATTGAATATAAATATTTAAAAAAATAATAGTAATAACATGCTCAAAATAATAGTAACATGAACAGTAACATACTCAACAAAAACAGTAACATAGTAAAAAAAAATAGTAACATGAAATATTCAATTTAACAAATCAATACTAATTCTAATAAAGTACAAACAGTAACATGAAAAATACACTTAGAACCTAATTTCAAAAATAAAATAAAAAAAAATTCCGATAAAGAATGTCGCGATACCACATAGGGTCGAGTTTGTGCCATTTAGTGGATTTAGTAATGGGCATGGTTCGGGTCTTCATGAATTGGAAGATGAACTTAGTATGTTTGACTAGCCCAAGGAGTAAGATAGCGAAGGTAATGGCGGCAGAGTTGGTGGTGGCGGTGCTAGGTGGTGTGGGTAAGTAGTGGTGCTAATGACGGATTGGATGGTGGTGATTGTTTTCATTGGCCAGGCCTTGCTAATTTCACTCCAAGTCAAAGCTCTCAAGTAAAGCTTCGACTAGTTAATATCCAATGAAATAGGGAAAAAAAATATGGATTTGGTTTTTGAGTTCGTCTTTTAAGTAGCATTGTTGTTCAAGCAGTATATATTTGTTTAGGTATCTTGATTCAGATTTTGAATTTGAATTTGAATTATTAATGAAATTTTTTAATTTGAAATTAAATTAATAGACCAATAATTTTGTCGTAATTCAAGCATCAAATTCGATTTTCATAAAAACTGAACAATTTGTTATTATATATATCTCAAACATCTAACATATGATTTTTCATAATTGACCAAAACTAATACTGTTAGGGGTATTTTTGAGATAAAAAAAATGGATTTAAGTCATTACACATAATTTTAAACATGGACTTAACCCCTTATAAGTTTCTTCACCAGACTTATCTCCAAACAAGTACATCTAGAGAGACTCACCTCTAATTTTCACTTTATTTAATTCTAGTGAAATCAAAAAAATACAACATTAATAAGGGCAAATTATCTTTTTACTTTTTTAAAAGTATTCGTCTAATTTGTATTTGGTACTTAAAATTTCAATTGTAATAATCAAATCTTTAGAGTTTTAATTTAGTTCTCACATCAAAAGTTATCAAGTTATTATACTAGAATGGTATTTCGTGACCAACAAATGACTTGATTAAAAAGATATATTTGTCTAGTAAAACGTGTAGGCTAAAAAATTTTATTTTATTTATCTGATTTTGAGAAAAAAATAATTATAAATCCAGAATAAAAAAAATATATAAAATGAGAATTCAAGAGGTATTATAAGACAAAGGGAGAAAATATTGATATATTTGAAAAAAAAAATTTACTGAACAAATATACATTTATAGGCAAGTTCTGTCTTTCCCTTGGGAAAAAAAAATAATAGATATAGATAGAATGTTTGGATTGAAATTCTATTAAAATTTTATGCAATTGTAACAATTGAAACTTTCGTGACCAAATAGAAATTACAGTTAATAATATTTTTGGTCACTAAAGTATATATGTTTTATCAGTTTAGTCCTCATTGTATTAATTTTGTCAATTTTAACCCTAAATTATTCAATTCGTGTCATTTTTGTTCATAATCAAACATTTCATCGAGTTTTTTTACAGTAGTGTGACCAAATGTCATTTTTATAGATGATTATCATGTGTTTAACACGTAATTATTCTGTCAAAAATATAGCGATCAAATTGATACAATAAAAGACTAAATTGATAAAAAATACATATTTTAGATACCACAAGTGCTATGAAGCTTAGAAATTATGTAAATATTACCCTATTAATAAAACGGATAATTGTTTTTTTGGAAAAAATGTTAAAAAAGATAATCGTTGCTGGCGTTATTACTTTGATTGCAAGGTAGGAGACAAGTTGGGCAGGTCCAACGGCGAGGATGAAGATGTGCATTAGGTTTCTGTAGCATCGGAAGGTATCGAAGTAGGAGAGTTTAATATTTGGTTGGATTTTGTAGGTGTGGATGCTTCTGTACATGGGCTCAAGGATGACGTAGCAGCCCCTCCTGTGCGCCCAGCCAGCGCAGCAGCCTCTCTTGAGCGCCCCGCCAGCAGGTCCTCCTCGCCCATGATGCCTCCACTCCGGCGCCTAGGGCCTCTCTCAAGCCACGCGGCTCCCTTTTCTCTCCTGGGACAACACCGATCTCTCTAAATTTTTCAAATTTCAAGAAAAACTCTCCTTTTCTTTTTCAAAATTGTATAGAATGGGCAGAATGCAGAAAAAACTGTCTATTTAGAGAATAGGATTCTTCTAGAATCTAGATAAAAATGGGAAAGTCTCAAGATCTGCTATAGTGGTGAGATATATCACGACGAGAAAAATCATCAATCAAAAAGGGTCTTTGTCAGAATTCAAGGTTCAACTAAATGCCCTCTTCTCCAAGTTTTATTGGACACAGGGTGTTGAGGTGCAAATGATCATCAATTAAAAAGGGTCTTTGTCAGAATTCAAGGTTCAACCAAATGCCCTCTTCTCCAAGTTTTATTGGACACAGGGTGTTGAGGTGCAAATGATGGGTCAGGGCCAAGGGCCTAACCCACGATAGTGAGCCCAATTTAAAGTAAGAGTCCAACTTATAAAAATCCAGTATCCAGTCCAAGCAGTTCACGTTCGGTCAAGCTCGTCAAGGGAGTAAGTAAGGTCATCTGAGAGCTTCATTCACATCGCCTTGGAAATAGTCAACCCTCATGTCATCCTTTGACTGAATCTTATGGAGAACACAATAACTATCTCATCCGTTGAAAAGAAGGTGTTAGCTTCACCAGATTAGTCACTTAATTACTAATAACTCGTTCAATCTGTTATGAGACAACTATAAATTGTAAGTTTCGCCAACACTTAGGGGGCATCATATTCAGTTGAGCACAACTCTCTAATTTCTCTCAGCTTGTAACTCTCTGCTCTCTCTACACTCTTGAAGTAAAAAAATACTTTAGAGATTCTAGTCATTCAAAGTAAATATATATCACATTTATTGAGTTACTATAAATCTTTATCTTACTTGTGTCTCTATATCTCTATATTTTACTATTACAATATTCAAGTTTTCAATGAGATTTTATTTATTCTCAATGAGATCAAAAAATACAATATTAAAAACAATAAATTACCATTTTAAGATTTTAAAAGAATTCATTAGAATTTTATTTGGTATTTAAAGTTTCAATTACAATAATCAAGTTTTCAGAATTTTAATCTAGTTTTCACATCAAAATTCATCAATCTATTTTGATAGAATAATCTTTTGTGATCACATAAATAAACAGATATATTTGCCTAGTGAAAAATCTGTTACATTTAAGGTAAAAAAAAACTTATTTTACTCATCTGATTTTGAGAAAAAAATAATTAAAAATAAAAAAAAAGATATAAAGTGAGAATTCAGTATATATTGTAAGACAAAGAGAAAAAATATCGCTATATTTGAGAGACATGTTTTTGCTGGACAAATAATCCTTTATAAGCAAGTCCTGTCTTTATGTTGGAAAAAAGTTAGAGATATGGATATATAGAATTATTGGATTGAAGTTCTATTAAAACTTTAAGAAATTAACTGTAACAATTAAAACTTCAAAGACCAAACAAAAATTAGAATTAATAGTATTTTTAGTTCATAAAATATGCACGTTTTGTCAATTTGAACTCTAAAGTATCGATTTAGTTTCTAAATATCCAATTTGTATTTAAATGATCCCTACACAAACGGACCGTTAAGTTTTTTATGGAATGATCACGTGTTGGACACGTGATATTTGAAAAAATAAAAACATGGTTACTTTCGTCAAAAAATTTAACGAATTATTTGATTAGGGACAAGAATGATACAAAATGAATTTTTATGGATCAAATTAATAAAAATAATACAATGAGAACCAAATTGACAAAACGAACATACTTTAAGGACTAAAAATGTTATTAATCCTAAAACTTATGTTCATATTACCCTATTAATTAAACAGAAAATTGTTGCTTTGAAAACAAATGTTAAAAAAGATAATCGTTGCCGGATTTGTTACTTTGATTGCAGCGAAGGAGACGAGTTGGATGGGTCCAATGACGAGCATGTAGATGCGCATTACGTCTCCGTAGCATCGGAATATATCGGAGTAGGATGGTTTGACATTTGGTTGGATTTTGCAGGTGTGGAGGTTTTAGTAGATGAGGTCGAGGATGAGGTAGAAGAGTGGTACAACTGAGAAAGTGAGGAAGACGATGAGGAGGCTGTGGCAGTAAAGTAAGTAGTCTGATTTGTTGCCGGAGTAGTTGAACCATAGCGTTTCCGCGGAGGTTAAGGTCCTGCCGAGGACCGTCTCGGCTTCTTGCAGGGTTTTATACGGCAGCATTGATGTTGGTGGTGGCGGCAGCGGTGACAGGGAAGGGTGGTTGTGAAGTGTTTGTTAGGTGTTAGTTAAATTGTGCGGGAAAGTTTCAAACATATGTAGTATATTTAAGGGAGGAGGGGAGTGGCTGGCATATGCTATATAACGTAAGAACTAGTAGTCCCACGAAGCTTTTGTTAGGTGTTAGTTAAATTTTGGAACTAGCTAGACTCCTCCACACCAAGAAGCAAGTGACTTCAATTTCCCATGGAATTGAGATGGTTCAATACTTTCAGCTACTAAATTCTTAGAAAATTGTTGGTCACCTCAATAAATTATGATTTTGAAGCTTAAGCTACGTAGTAATATTTTACGTATTTAAAAAAAAAAAAAAAAAAAAAAAGTCTTGTCATTTAAAGCAACCAAAATTCGGTATAAAAATATGATAATCTTGTGTAAATTGTCTTTTTGCTCCGCCTTACTTACCTTAGGCCGGATTTAGGGTAGGAATCACCAGAAAAAGCAAAAAGGAAAACACCAATGGAACAAGTTGATTAAGTTTTGATCTCTGTAGCTATTTAGTATAGCAACTGTGGCGAGATATTCACCACCACCACCACCACTCGGAACTAATCGTTGTTGAATAAATTTTTTTGGCATTTAAGCTGCTACATATATCAGAAATTATTGCAGGGTGGTTTACAGGTTCAAATTCAAGCAAACACGAGAAGAAAGCTCTCCGCTTGTCCCCAGATTAATAATGTCCAAGGGACAAGTCATATGGCACGGAAAGTCGATCATGAAATTCCTTCAAATTTAGAATATATTATAAAAATTTAACCATCCGTGCGCAGAACAGAGTGTTTGCTTTCTCAATTTATTTGCTAGAAGCGTGCTCACAACAATCAGAGCATAAATCAAAACCTTCTCCATACTAAAAAGTTTATTACCATAATAGATGTATCAAGAACATATACATACACAAACGTATTTATAAAATACAAACAATAGTGATACTGAAAGCAGGATTATTTTCGGCGTTATAGTCTATACTTCAAATAACCATGCAGAATTCAACGAGTATGCCATTGCCTACTAAAAGTGCAATGATACTGAAAGCAGCCATATCTCACATTCAACCATGAGCCTATTGACCTTTCACAAATGAAAATTTTGAATGCTCTACTTAAGCGACAAGACTGAAACTTCAGCAGAAACTCCATTCCATAAGACATGACTGTGATACATGCATTTTAGCCTGTGTAAACACAATTATAGTAAATCAGCTTTTATTTATATATAACTTGTCTTGCAAATATTTAAAAGGAAATTAGTCGAAAGTGAAGATCAGACTGGAGACTTGTAAAGATTTTTCAGTCTGAAACTCAATCAACACACCAAAACCAACCAATCTATATGATTTTGATTTCCACAAACTGACAAATAACAGAAGTTTGGGTCCACGACTTGACACTGAATGGTTTAAATCCTCTCCCCACACTACTAAAGATAACAATTTTAGAGGACCCATAGGTAATCCCCACCAGAACCACTACAACTCTTTAATCTAACAGACTGGAATATAGTGAGCACAACAGATGATGTCAACTTTGAAACCTAAGGTTTGAGAGAGTTGTCACTAGTAAAAAGCATAGCCCAAAACGAAAAGTCAGGAGCAGGGTTCTGAAGACCCATAACTAGTCACATTTAAGATCTTCTGGAGAGATGTGCAAACCTCCATTCTGTTTGCCACCACTTTTCAATCCATCTTTCAACTGAATCAGATCAATAAAATACTGATTAGACAGACAGTGTGAAAATACATTATAGAAAACTTGGTAAATAACTTCCACATAATATTCAAGAATTAAAAGGCAAAACAAAAAAGTAGATATCTTTTATGCCAAAAAGAAAAAAAAAAAGGATATTTAATTGTAAAATGAAACTGAAATATTACAACATGAAACCGAATGTCCAGAAAATTCACAAAACTGAGCTGCCTTTTTTTTTCCTTGTGCAGATTTTAAAAAAGCTGTTTTTCCTGGGCAAAGCCTTTGGTCAACATTAAACTCAAACCAAACATTACATTCAAAATGACGCTGAGAAATTTTCCAGTCTCAAAAACCTAAAGTTCATCAAATTCCCAGAATGCACTACAGATGTCCCTAATTTATGAAGCATTTAAAATTAACAGGTTATTCGGTCCATCTCATGCCCTAGCACACTCCAGAAATACAAATGAGGAAGAAATGTCAGTCATGTTTCCAAGAACAAAACGGACAATAAAAAGAAGACAAAGAGCTGCATTGTTACCTGTCGAAGTAGTCTCTTTTGGTAACGGTAGCCCTAATGATAGAAAGCCAAAAAACATTAGTAAAGATTAAGATATAATCATTTTAAGTCAAAAGAGTATAATAAATAGCATAAATGTAACTGTATAGTGACCTTGTCAGTTCCATATATGTAATCACAGTAGGTGAACACAGAAGCAAAGTTGCTCTGGCTCTGACCACCAACATAATGATGGTAATCATGGTAATCTGCACCACCATAAAAAGGAATATATTTTGTGGGAGCCCAAGGAATATCATACCTATAAAAATGAAAGCAGAAAGTTAAAACATGGTCCAAGTGCAGCATAGTACATTTTAGTTCGAGGGATGAATGAGAATTAGATTAGGGAGCTTTACAAAAACTTCCTGCAGAACACGTGGCTGATGCCTTATTCAGGCCATCCTTGAACCTAAAGAGAATACAAGTTCTTTGAGGACATATTTCAATAACATCTAAATTCAAGCACAATTGAATCACAATCAAATCCTTCTCAATTAATTGCCAAAAAGGGAAAAAGGCCTGTGTTAAAAAATGCCAACAGTGGCATATCCATCCTTTATCCTGAGTTCCTAACTCTGGCAGCATGAAACTTGGAACTTTTTCAACCATTGCTTTTTCAGAATGCCCCTTTCTGGTGCCCACATGGGTTGATTTTCTGCAGCCTAAAACATCTTCAATTGGTTTCCCTTAAACTAAATTCAGCTCAACAATTTATTGCCCCAACTTCTTAGGGTCGGTTGCATAATCGTAATCAATTAAGCTGCAACTCAGATATTCACATGTAGATAGCAGGACTGAAAACAAATCAATTTTAATGTCTCTAGCCATCAATCACAATGAACACCTAAACTATTATTTCAAAAGAATTCAAACATTACACTGGTAATTTTCTACTCACCCATACTTTGATCCCACCAGCTAAACCTTCATTTACAGAAAATAAATTACTGAATAGTATCCTATGCACAAGCTGACTATTCATTCACAGAAATGAAATACAAGTAAGCACGACAAAACTATAGAAGGTATATACCAATTAGGAAACAATAGTGTAGTGCGCTCATAGCTAAATTGCAGTCCATTGCTACCAAATAATCTACATAACTTGTCCCATAATGCCACTGTCCTAATTGTAGAACCCAAAAGTCCAAGTTCTTTACCTTTTCCTCATTCCTAGGTTAAAAGCTTAGAATTACTAAAATGAATATCAATGACCTTCCAAAATAAAAAGGGATATCAATGCTTCAATTCAACAAAATTATGCACTAACTATATCAAAGGTTGGCGGCATGTATCATTAACATCATCAAGTATTATGTCACTCTTCCTTGCTGGGTACATTTACATAAATCTTCATGCGAGCAATAGAATTTTCTCTTATCTTTTAGTTTTCCTTCCACCAAATCTTCATAACTACAATAAGTTAAAAACAACAACAGGTCCACTCACACAATTTTCCCCACGAATAATGTTCTGAAATGTCTAGAAGTCATTTCAGAGTTTTTTTTAGCTCAATGTTACAGACTTAGCAACTTCTTTCAGGTCCTCGAGGAACAAACATTCTAGTCCTTCTGACCCTGGTTTACGATTGCTTCTGATTCACTTCCTAAGCTCTTCACAAAATTGTCTAAAATGTTAGCATCTTTTCTCCAAAACCAAAGCTCATTTGGGTTTCATCTTTTGGCTTCTAATATGGTGAAAATAGTCATTTTGAGCATAACGCTCAAGTCATGGCCCTGTAGACTCTCCCGCCCCACCCCCAAAAGAAAAAACACATCCCAAACAGGGCCAAGATGACATATCTGCTGGGCATGAAGAATGGCCAAGGCAAAGTAACAAACAAGTAAGCAGAAAATCAAAAATCTACAATTCCATCTGCCCAGTAGGCCAGTACCCATATGTCAGAGAAATGTGGAGGTGGAGAAAGCCCAAGGCACTATAAAAGATATGCTCTTATCAACTTGTAAGTCGACACTAACTACATAGATCATCTTAGTTCTTAGAGCTAAAACTACACAAACTACATAGGTCATCTTTGCATATAGATAATCTTAGTTGTTAGAGTCTCTCCGGTCACCGAGGATGATCGCCCGCACAATGAACGATTGCTGTTCATTTCGCAGCATTTGTAGCCTCCTCTCGAGGCCCTTTATTCCCTGTTCCATTGCGCACATGCGGTCTCCTACAACGGCAGGGGTCATCGGGCGCAGGTGTCCCACATCTTTTATACACTTGAATTTCCTTAACCAACAGCTTTGGATTAATTCTAAACCCCTCTAGTCTAGCCCCATGCCTCACTAGAAGGTGCAAACAGTTCCAAATCCAATTATTCTAGTTCCAGTGAACCAAAATCCTACAATGGATCCTAATACCAAAACCTATATAAAGCCATCAATCCAACAATGAAAAGATGTTGTTGCCTGAGATACATGCACCAGTGGACTCAAAAACTTTAAAAGTCCATGGCAAAATAGAAACCACCATGATGCACAGTTTCACAGAATGCCAATGCAGTTGAAGAAGATAATTTTCGTCAAATTACCCAAGATGAAAAAACAAAGAAGATAAAAAAAAGTGAGATCAGAGAGAGAGAGAAAGTGATTTCAAAAAGAAGACACCCTTATGATCCGTCTCTCCGTGGGCAACAGTAAACAACAATTAATGATCCCACCAATTCCATTTCCTTTACGGATCAATTAAATATCACACTCGAGCACAGTGAACCTAAGTGACAGA